AAAACTTTATAAATTACAGTAAGAAAAGTATTTTTTTGAGGACTCGAAAGCACACACATTTTCTGCAAAAATTATTTTTCTATGTGGAGATAATGTTCTTCCTTTTGTTAATAAGTGTTCGTTAGGGAACAGAGCGAAATAGTTACAAAATAAGGTCAGATCAAAACCGCATAAACTAAATCAAGACATCAAGTAGAAGAAAAAGTGGTGTGTAAATAAAATCCAAAAAATTTTTTTCTAAGAACGGACCGCAAAGGACAGTTTGCTTTAAATGTCGCCTTTTTTAAAGTTTTTCACCCTAATGTACTTTCCACAAGTTATTTTCATTTTTGTGTTCACACCTATTTCAAAGAATATTTAAGCTAAGGAGTGGAGAAGTAGAAATTAGAGATAATGAATACAGCAGAAATCAGTTTAAAATTTAAACGTAGAATTGATTGAATGAAACATTTTGTAAAATATAGATTCTCCAAATACTCGAACAGTGGAATAGCAGAAAGTTCTTTTTGAATATCTGTTGCTAAAGAGTAAAAATGGATAAATAGTCATTGATCTGGAAACAAACTTATTTTGAAGGAAAATCAAAAAGCATTTGAAAGTTTTAAGCTTCTCTGATCTAGAAAAATAGCCAGTTTTATTTTTAAACTTTATATTCTAAGAAGGAAACTTAAAAATTATAGTGAGATAAGTAATTTTGTGAGGACTTGGAAGCACACATATTTTCTGGAAAAATTATTGTTTTGTGTGGAGATAATGTTCTTCCTTCTGTTAATAAGTGTCCATTAGGAAACAGAGCGAAATAGTTACAAAATAAGGTCAGATCAACACCGCAGAAACTAAATCAAAACATCAAATAGAAGAAGAAGTGATGTGTAAATAAAATCCAGATAAAAAATTTTTTTTTTAAAAGATTTGCAAAGGACAGTTTGCGTTAAATGTCGACTTTCTTCTTAGAATGAGACAAAAAACAAGCACGAAGGGAAAATGAAACGTCGCGGAAGTGAAATTTAAAAAAAGATTTTTTGGGGTAGAGGAAGATAAATTTAATTGTTAAGAGAGATGTCCTACAGACATCCAGTGTCTAAATAAGTCCTTACTCGTTGTGCAACTAACTGTTAAGCACGTAAGGCGTTTCGTGACTGCTGCTGATTGGGCTGTTAAGATTTGAATTAAGATTTGGGCCATTCCAAGCCAAATCGCACAAGTTTAAACCTCGACCTCTCAGATTTTTTTCATTTTTTGCCAACTTGTAGCACTTGTTACCGGATTTAAAAATGGGAAGAGTTTACCTCAAGAAGTGCGCTGGCGGCAAAGTTAGACCGTTCTAAAGTGCGGAAAAAAACGCAATTTACCCTCGACATAGTCATCTTTAACAGTTTATATCTCTCGCACTTCACAACGAATTTTCCTCATTTTTACTTAATTTGAAAAATTTGATTTGAAAGGTTATTTCCTACAGATTCAGAAAAGTGGTGAAATGCTTAAATTAGCAAATTTTATTTTAGACTTAAATGAAAACAAAGTTCAAAACAGCTTTTCTCAAAAAACGACGTTTTGAATTTTTTAAAAAAAAACATATTTTGTAAAGCAATAATTTTTACACAAAATCTATAAATCACAAGGTGGTATCTTTACGGACTCAAGAGATACGGTAACATTAGTGACAGTAGACTGGAAAAAACCCTCAATTGAAGCAGCATTTTGGCGCTTTCGCAAGCCTTAGACCCTCTGTTTACACTAGAATTTTATGTTTTTGTAGTATATATAATTCTTGTAAAATTTTCAACTCTACTACTCCAGTAACAAACAATTAGTTAAAATTGTTTACTTATTGAGCCCTTCTGACCCAAATATATCACACTCAGTACTTTTTTTTGACTACTAGTATTGCTTTGTTGGTTTTCCTCTCAACGTTTTCTAGTATAACAAAATGAAATTTTTTATGCATTTGAGTGGCGAATCTACGCGAAAACGTGATGCTGGAACTGCACCTCTCTTTTAATATTTTTATGAAGCAGTGGAATCACTAGTATTTCTCCTCTTTATTTTGGAACCTATTTGTAAAGGTTATTCAGAATTAGGATTTAGACTGAAAGTTTCTCTTTCATGCCGACCATCGTTGCTGATCGTCTCAGCATGCCTTCAAGTTTGATGCTGGAAGTGCTTCTTGTTTGGATAAGACGACTGTTTTGAAGATAAGAAAACAGCTTCGTAAGTTTAGGCTCTTAGAACTTGTTATCAGATGAATACATTTAAGAGAGTAGAGGGAATGTTTAAGGCTATTTCAGTTGCGGGGTGTAGTGACTAAAGGAGAGCAATATTCACAGACAAGTCTAAATCTAATTTGAAAGGTAGTGACGGCAGGGTGCATGTAATACAGAAGCATGTTGCAGAATTTAGTTCTAGATGTTCAAAAAAGACTTTTAAATACAGTGGATTCTTCGTGATGGTTGAGGTGTCAGAGCATTCTGAACTTACAGCAGTCTATCAGTTTACCTGAAGACGTCGTACTATTTCACACATGTACTTTTTCTTTAGCCTTTCTTTATGAAAACTTCTTAGAAGAGGAGCTTTTATTAAATTCGACTCTTTAACAAGAAAATGATCTAAAATACGTCTTACCCCAATAAAAACTAGTTGAACAAAAGCAAAATAAAAGCGTTTAAGCAGCCGACCTAAGTCTATTAAATTTAATCCGTTCTTTCACAACCACGCACACCCTTCTGAAGCCCCAAAAAGGGTTGAAGAGGTTAATTATAGTGAGGAGTGCTTCTCCAAAACCCGTTTTAAGAATTCCTTTTTGCCATTTTGAGTGGAATAATCAAAAAGCACTGCATCTACTATTTCCACGTTCCGCGTTTCTTTGCAAGATTGAGAAATGTCTATAGTTCCTATGATTCTCCAATTTCTTAAAAAAGAAAAAAACTTGTTTGATCGGGCTTCACATGTTTTGAGACAGCTTGGCGAAGTGATTTAAAGAAAGGTAAAATAAAAAGTAGGCCTGACAGGCTTAAAACATTTTTTAAGACCTGCCGTTTATGGTAAAAGACTATACACGTTAAAACTTTAACTGTTTGAATTAGCCTATTAGCACCGTTAGTTACAACTCCGTGCTATTCTAACTCCCACATCGTTTTTTAGACCACCATAAAAACAATTTCTTTTGTCTTTTCTTCACCCGTCGGAAGCAGTCGAGGGAGAAAGACCGTCTGTGGAATAAGTCAATCGGATGAATTTTTCCAGTCCTGGAAACCGGCCAACTCAGAGTTTCCTGGTGGGTAACAATTTAAAAAGTATAGCAAACCTGTCTCAAACCGATTTTATTGACGGTGCCCGCAGTTTCAAGACACGTTGAAATGATGCCAACAATTTTGTGCTTGAGGTTAAGCTGGTTTGCGAGACACTTTGCAAGTGGAGCTTATTCGACGTTGTTGTTTTCATTGTAGATAGATGCTTTCATGATAAACGTTATGGGTCAGTGTTGGCAGGGTTATTAGACTCTGTTCATGCTTTTTACTGCAGGCTTCGGATACATTTCATTTCTTAGTCACTCAGTTGTGTTGCCGTTGCAATAAACCATATTTGTTCTTTGACTGATAGTTAAAGGTAGCATGAGTTAATTTTATCTGGCAGACTTCTTTTTAATTGTTTTTTAGATTTTTAGTCAACAGAGTTAGTGAACAGCCGCTAAATATATAAAAGCGTGGAACTTTTTAACAATTTCTTTGACTGCTTTTATTCTGTTGCACATACCTGATCAGTTTTAAGATTAACTGTCCTTATTTTCTTTATTTTGCTTTTCTTTTTCTTCTGAAAAGATAGAGTCTGTCTTATCATTAATATTGAAAAAAAATTGTTTTCTCATCTGATAAGATCGAAATTCAGGAAAATTTCTTCTTTAAACAATTATTTTCTTACCTTTTGCAGAGTTGGCGAAATGTGTGCGGTACGCCTTCAGCAAGCAGTCAAACCGATACTGCGACTCTCGAGCGTTTCAACAGCATGTCAGAGCAAGAGGGAATCCCACACTATTTGGTATCCGGATGCTGAGTTCCAACGGGAGTATATGGTATGATCTGATATATCGACTGTATTCTCTCTGATGAGTTTAGTAGGAAGTGTTATTTAAATTATTTGATTACACTATACATTATTTTGTTCCAGTTGTTGAAATGTCATATCATAGTGTAATTTTGAGTGCAATATGTTTCCAGTCTGTTTTAAGTTGATTTTTTGTTTATAGTTAGTTGGAGGTGCTGTTTTTGCTGACTATTATAAATTAGAGTTACAACTATTATATCTTTATTTTTTATTCATTCCTAGATTGAACACTAGGATTATTTCAGCAAATTGGAGGCGTTTTGGGTCGAATGGATTTTCCGAAAGATACTCGGTTTGGAGGAGCTATTGGTACAAATAAGCTAGTGAAATTATTGAAAGAAAGTCCAGCGTTAATGCCCGGTTATCACGGAAAGTTTCGTGAGAAGGAATTGGAAAATATGATTTTAAATTTTGGACCGCAGCATCCTGCCGCTCATGGTGTACTTCGTCTGGTCCTGAAACTTGAGGGCGAGGTAAATGGATATGTAATCCAAATTTTGCTTTTCAAGCTTTTATTTCTGATTTCGAAGTGAAGCTTGAAGAGCATAAGACTTAATTCTTTTGAAAAAACGAAGTGAGAAGAGCTTGTGGTGTATTAATATCTCTGTTCTTTCGATTACAAATTATGCGAATTTCCGAATCTAAAGTTTCATATCACTTTCAGGTTGTCATAAAAGCGATGCCTCATATCGGTTTGCTTCACAGGGGGACTGAAAAGTTAATTGAATATAAAAATTATACTCAAGCATTGCCCTATATGGATCGCTTGGACTATGTAACAATGTTTAATAGCGAGCAGGGATTTTCTTTAGCTGTAGAGAAACTTCTGGGCATCGATATTCCCCCTCGTGCCAAATGGATAAGAAGTAAGTTTTGTTTTTCTAACTTTTGTCTAGGGATTTTTTTATTTTGTTACAGGTAGAAGTCGGACGTCAAAAGTCATTTAGAATAAAAGTCATGGAACTGTGGGAAAAATAGTATTTTTTGGTTTGTCAATTTTTATTAGTTAACTTTATCGTGAAAAAGAAGTTACTTTTGTTTTAAGGACCTCAAGTGAAGTGATAAGTTGCTACATGAGTCATTTCCAAATCCTGGCACCAAACTCATTTTTAGCCAATACAGTTCTTTGCCTCGGTCTTGTCAAATTATTTTAAACGTCTGTTTTTCAGCTTTATTTTGCGAATTAAACCGTTTGGCTAGTCATGGATTTAGTTTGGTGACCCACGCTTTGGATGTAGGAGCCATGACTCCTTTGTTCTGGATGTTCGAGGAACGTGAAAAAATATTTGAATTCAAGTGGGGAACCTGTTCAACTTTTTCTGAGAACTCTCTTTCCTTTTTAAGTAAAAAGGTAGTTGAATTAGTTTCAACGAGCCTCACCCTTGGCAGAAGTTCTTATGAGCCGCCCCCCTCTCTGGGCCTCTAGGCAGTAATCACTCAAGAATCTGTTGTTCATATTGCCGTTGTTTTCAGTGAACGCGTAAGCGGTGCTCGTATGCATGTCAATTACATTCGTCCAGGTGGCGTTTCTTTTGATCTTCCATTGGGTATTTTGGATGATATCTATGACTGGGCGATTAAGTTTCCAGAAAGGATAGATGAACTTGAAGATATGTTAACAGAAAATCGAATCTGGAAGGTGTGCTATCTTTTAGGACGTTTTGATTATTATTATTTTTCTTAATTTTACCACTGTGTGCTGACAGGAAACTTGTCGTTCTGACAAAGGAGAACGTCTGCGTGATTTCATTTTCTTTGAAAATTTCCAAACAAAACAGTTTCTTATTACTTTATATGTAAAATTGGAAGGCTGTTTTTGTTTTTGGGCTTTATTTCCCTTCCTCTTTACCACTGTTGATGAAGTAGTGAATGCAGCGGATACAGACTTGCTTCTTCCAGAATGAAACTGTGGGAAAATTAGTATTGTTGAGTAATGTAGTAAAAGTTCTAGATGATTTCTTTTCTTGTAATGGTAAGCTTCTTATTTAGGCTCGTACGATTGATATTGGGATCGTCTCGGCAGAGGATGCTCGCAACCTTGGTTTTAGTGGAGTAATGTTGCGCGGATCTGGTGTGAAATGGGACGTGAGGAAGGCAGCACCATATGACGCATACGATCAGGTAGAATTTGATGTTCCAGTTGGAACTAAAGGGGATTGCTACGACAGGTGCCGTTTTGGTTTTTGTTTTTAAATTCTTTATGTAGGTGGAAGCACTAGTACTGGTTTTATAATAATTTAGATTTTCTGCATGAAGTACACTAGGCTTTTGTGCTTGAAATGTGGGTTTTCGCGAGATTCTTAACAACCTTAACGAACTAGAGAACTTGTGAACGATGACTCTTTTGAATTCTATGTATTTTTCCAAAATCTTTCAACTGCAGATACTTATGCCGTGTTGAAGAAATGAGACAGAGTTTGAGGATTGTTCATCAGTGTTTGAACAAAATGCCAGCTGGCGAAGTTAGGATAGACGACCGCAAAATTATGCCTCCGAGAAGAGCTGAAATGAAGGTTTAGTAAAAAATTTTCTTTTGTATTGAAGAAAATGTGAAATAAAATTTTGGTTATGTACTTCTGGTTTTCTATACTTCAGAAAAATGCATTTAAATGACTTTAATGCAACAGCTTTTGACTATAAGTTCAAATGAATTTGTTTAGAATAGTATGGAAGAGTTGATTCATCACTTCAAATTCTTCACTGAAGGATATCCAGTACCGCCAGGTGCCGTCTATGTCCCTGTTGAATCTCCTAATGGAGAGTTTGGCTGTTATATTGTTTCTGATGGCAGTTCAAGGCCGTACAGATGTTTCATTCGTGGCCCTGGGTAAGTGTTTTCTCAGTTATAATTTGGCGTCTTCGCGGGTTTATTTAATATGAAGCAAGTTTTAAAGGAATAAAAATTTTTATTGAAGGTTTTTTAGTCTTTTCTATAAAGTTTTTAATCCAAAAAAAAGAGAAGTAGCTGAAGTTAAACGGAATATTTTTTGGCTAGTTAGTGTAGTTATCAGCTATGTCGCTCTGATGTACTTTTTTGTTTTTACATGAGTAGCATGTGTTATAGATGATTTAAATGAGAGTGCTTCATTAGAGTAGATTGACATCTCTTGCTGGTAGAATTCCTTCATCCCTTTCTTCATCAACCCTCTTCTGTGGGAAGGAGTAGGGCGGAAATGAAAATGCTGGATTTTCAAAATAATTAAAGAAAAAAATTGAGATGCGGCAAAAAAAAGAAGAAGATGAAGGTTTTCTACTTTTTTACGGCTTTCTGAAAATAATTAATTCAGAATTTAAGATTAGTTTCTGTCAGTAGGTTCACTGCAGATGCCACCTTATCTATTGTTGAAATTTTTGTGGCATTAAGGTGTTAAAATTTAAAACTTCCAGTGGCTTTTTCTTTCCTCTTTTGCCTGCTAAGATGGGCGGCAGAGCACTCAGAGAGGAAAGGCAAAGGGAACTGCCGTAGAGAGTGGAACAAAGGAATTGGAAATTTTAAAATCTTGCATTGACGAAGTTAGTCAGAGAACAGTTGTATTCTAAGACTGAGAAGGATGGTTGAATAGGTGCACTCTTTCGTGCTGGAACAGCCATATATGTATATATGGGCCATTTCATGCCAAATCGCACACCTTCGTACATCACCCTCTCAGATTTTTTCCATTTTTTGCTGATTAGTAGAGCCTGGGCTAGCATAAAGAAAGTCGCAAAGAAAATTCGGAAAAGTGAATTTTCCGCCAAGTTACAACCCCCCCTCAAAGCTGCAAAATTTGGCAGGTTGCGCCTGACATGCCTATTTTTGGAGGCTTGTAATTTGGTCCGTTTTTAATGTAATTAAAGTTTTTTGATGCTTTTTATTTCTCATGTCCTGAACTTTTGAAAAAATGTTAAACAATTTGATTTTGTTAAAAACGCACAAATACACAATAAAAACAAAATTTCAAAAGAAACATAGAAAAAAAAACTTGTCCTCAAATTTTTTAAAAAAAATATATTTTGTGCAGAATTTTTTTCTCTACAACATATCAAAATTTGCAGATGGCCATTATCCCGATATCGGGGAGCTACGAGCCGGAATAGGATGTAAAACTGAAAAAAACTCACTATTTTTTACAGTAATCTCATGTATTTTACAGTGGCGAAATCATTTGGAGCTCATTCTGAAGGCCGCAACTGAAAGCTACAAATATCCCGTATGCTTTAAACCTCGAAAACTCGCTATCAAAGTCGTACTTTACTTGAATAATATTCACAAATTATTATTCCGCGGAGTTATAAGAGGTAGTCTTTACCCTGGCCCTTTCTAGTTCTCGTGTTTTATTTTGTGAAAACTATGTAACTAGTATACATTTTGGCGTCGCAAAAAGTCTAAGAGCTCACTGCTTTGCCTGGCTGTTGGATTTAGGTTCTTCTCAAAACTTTCTGTGTTTTTGGAGAACTGCAACACATAATTGCAAAGAAGAACAAGTCGATTTGGCGAAAACTTTGACGAGTACAAGACAGAGACAATTCATAGCACTGAGAAATCACGACATACAAAAACTAGAAAGGGCTAGGGTAAAGACTACCTCTTATAACTCCGCGGAATAATAATTTGTGAATATTATTCAAGTAAAGTACGACTTTGATAGCGAGTTTTCGAGGTTTAAAGCATACGGGATGTTTGTAGCTGTCAGTTGCGGCCTTCAGAATGGGCTTTAATCGATTTCGCCACTTTAAAAATACAGGGGTTACTGTAAAAATGGTGGGTTTTTTTCAGTTTTACATTCCTTCCCGGCTCGTAACTCCCAATATCGAAAAATCGCCATCTCCAAATTTTAATATCTTGTAGAGAAAAAAATTCTACACAAAATACATCTTTTTTAAAAAATTTGAAGACAAGTTTTTTTTTTCTGTGTTTGTTCGAGATTTTGTTTTTATTGTGTATTTGTGCGTTTTTAACGAAATTAAATTATTTAGCATTTTTTCAAAAATTCAGGATATGAGAAATAAGAAGCATCAAAAACTTTAATTACATTAAGAACGGACCATATTACAAGCCTCCAAAAATAGGCATTTCAGGCGGCAACCTGGCGAATTTTGCAACTTTGGGGGAGGGGTATAACTTGGCGGGTAACTCATTTTTTTCGGATTTTCTCTGCGGCTTTCTTTATGATAGCCCGGGCTCTACTCTAATCGGCAAAAAATGAAAAAGATCTGAGGTGATATACGAAGGTGTGCGATTTGGCATGGAATGGCTCATATATA